ATAATAATAATAATAATAATAATAATAATAATAATAATAATAATAATGGAAATACTAATGCTCTGATGGTCATTTTGAAAAATCCTTTCTTAGTGAGCACCTAGAAGCCAAGAGGAACCTACCTGCCAAATTTCAAGTTTGTAGGCTTTACGGTTCTGGAGAGTTTGTGATGATGCGTGAGGGGTATTTCGCTTTTATATATACAGATAATTCTTCCAGTTTTGAACCCAGGCAAGGTTCCTTCTATCAGGATGTAACAGTGGAGGGAAAACACCTGGCTCTGCTAACAGTTTTTGATGGCTGTTATCAAAAAGATCTGTGCTTTTAAGACCTGAACCAGGGCTAACACCCCTTTTGTCTCCTTCCTTCCTTCCTTTTATGCGCAATGCCTTTGAGACCAGACATTGACTGCTTTTGTCGTTTTGCTGAAAGCAGCTTCAAGCCATTGGCTCTGTCACTTTGGGACATTGAGTGTTGCATCACAACTCATGCACAAAAGGAGCCAGGGTTTGCTTCGTGACAACGTGGGACTTGGGAGTATGACACTACCATCATCAGATTGATAGCAACAGCAGTAGCACTTAAGACTTATATATACCGCTTCACAGTGCTTCACAGCCCTCTCGAAGCGATTTACAGAGTCAGCCTCTTGTCCCCAACAATCTGGGTCCTCATTTTACCCACCTTGGAAGGATGGAAGGCTGAGTCAACTTGGGAGTCGGTCAGGATCGAACTTCCTAGCTGTGGGCAGAGTCAGCCTGCAATACTGCATTCTAACCACTGCACCACCATGCCACTGATCAGGAGAGCCATCTGTTTTCAAGTCTATGGCAGGGATGTCAAACTCGTGGATGCGTCACGCGCTGGCCACGCCCACGCCCAGTTTAGGGAGGGGAGGGGAATCGCAATATGGCAAGTGACGTCACTGCGGTGCCACAAGTTTGACACCCCTGGTCTATGGCCTTATGGGCAGGACTAGTCTGTTGAAGGAATGGTTCAAGAGCATCTTTAGAACAATAACATGTCAGAGGCCAGATCTGACTTCAGCTGGCAGGGGAAACACATGCACATTTCCCCCGGCCACCAAGTTATTGGAGGTTCTCGCCAGAACTGTTCCACTTGTATTTTGTATCCTGCCTTTATTATTTTTCTAAACAACTCAAGAAAGCCAATGTGTCTGATACCCCTTCCACCTCTCATTTTCCCCACCACAGCAACGTGCAGAACTGAGTTGGGCTGAGAGAGAGAGAGAGTCATCCAGACCAGGGGTGGTCTCCAACCTTGGCAACTTGAAGTCCGTCAGGCTTCAAGCAGGGGTGGAATTCAACTGGAGTTACTCCCGGTTCAGTGACTACGTTTATTCTATTTTATTCTTTCATTCTCTATTCTGTTCTATTCTTCCATTCTTTATTCTATTTTTTCATTTCTATTCTATTCTATTCATTAATTCTCTTCTTTCATTCTTAATTCTATTCCATTCTTTCATTCTTAATTCTATTCTATTCTTTCATTCTTAATTCTATTCTTTCATTTCTGTTCTATTCATTCTTAATTCCATTCTTTCATT